ATTACCCCGAATAACCCAAGCTGCCTGTGAAGTGCTAAAAAGCTAATAGTAACATGACCTATCCCACCGGGTACCCATTTTCTGCTGGGTGATCAAAGGGAATTTTGAACCAACTTGCTTGCCTAAGGTGAGACCACATGTATCACATGTGCTTCGTTGTGGGGCAGTTCTAGATACTCTCAGCTGAAGTACAGATAAGCTGCGTATCTGCGTAAATTACGCAAATATTCATGAGAAAACTCAATTCCTATTAAGACTACTGCGTACCAGTACGCTTGAAGTTTTGTAAATACTCAATAAATGTGATCTTACATGCGTACACACAAAAATGTTAAATCGTAGCTTGCGTACCGGTGGATAGATAAAATAACTGAGGTATACTGAGAGGTTCTATTTTAGGACATGAACTTGACAACTTGCAGTCTTTCTAGTCTTTTCTCATATTACAGATCAAACATAAATAACAAACACTTACATTTAAACTTTATTATATTTTTTAAATTAATGGAAAATGGCAAAATACCCAACTGAGTTTGAGTGAGGTGAGTACAATTTATTTGGTTACTCAAAGGAAAATTAGGAAACCAATTGAGATGAACACAAGCGAGTACATAACTGAAAGACCAAAAAAAGTTAACTGTAGCTCTGCTCTCATGAGTCAAACTGCCAAATACGGACACCCAGCCAAGGATTCTCCGTGCCCAGCGTTGCTTAACTTCAACTGATTTGTGACCTGAGCTCTATGCACAGTACCACACACCACCACATTCTAACCCGGATCTCCACAGGTGTATCTGGTTTAAGATGAGTGTGGATACAACCGATCCGTGATCGGCGGGATAGGATGAACCCACAAGATCCATTTTGTATTTTGGCCCATTGCTGAAACGGCTACATCACCATCGGCATGTTCAACAACGTTCGAATCCGGAATCTGCTAAAAAAAAGGTGACGAGTTTGGTTTTGTGATTTTCTATTGATGGAAGAAGACAGACGTTTGCCTAAATACAGCTTAACCGATTTGGTTGAGGTAGTGCCATGGGCCCCTGTTTTACACTCAGATATCACACATTGTGCCATGGTGGTGTAGCAGCTGATAAGGTGTAGGGATACAAAATAAGGTGTCCTTTACCGGCCTTTCCAGCACGATGCCTCAAGGTGGCAAACTGCGCTAACCATTGTTGCCTGTCAACAGAATGAAACCATTACAGCTCCCACTGCCATTTAATCTTCATTTTGACCCCATAGAATATTTATGGAATGATCTCGATTTAAGAAATACAACCCCATGTTTAGTGCAGTGAAGTACAGTGAACTATTATAGTTAAAGCACGATGATGCTTACGTCAATTCAATGTGGCCAAACGTGCTTTATCGCCCGATGAAGTTCTGTCGGCGCCGGGGGCAGTGGGGTAGCCTAGTGGTTGAAGCGTTTGCTCGTGGAGCCGAAGGCCCGGGTTCGATTCCCCACATGGGCACAATGTGTGAAGCCCATTTCTGGTGTCCCCCGCCGTGATATTGCTGGAATATTGCTAAAAGCGGCGTAAAATTAAACTCACTCACTGTCTGCGCCTCTGACCATTTAGCGAAGCATCTTAGAGAGACAGGTACGTCAACCATCACCTTGGATGCTTGACTAATCGATACCTTTGCAGGTGGGCTTGGATTACACACGACTGGTTCCAGAGACTTCTTCATCTAAGCCGAGATATTTATACCAAAGATATAAACAGTGTCCAATATTAGCACCCTACTACATGTAATTGTTATTGTAAACTTTTCAATTGTAAGGGACATGTGAGCTGCGATATGTTCACCTTGTTCGACGAGTTCACCTTATCAAAACATCTAGAGTAGATTATCCGCAACCCTAATTACGCCTAATCAGAACCTACCCTTCAAAGGAACCCGCAGGTCGGCTTCCTGAGACTAGTGGAAAATCGAGAGGTCGGCGTCCTGAGACGACACCGAGAGGACGCATAGCAGTTTTGGAACGCTTTAACCATCTACCCCAGGAACATGTATGGTACAGAGTGGAGATCGTTAGGCTATATAAAGCAATATCGGTCGTGTTTAAATAATCCAGTTAATATTAGCATATATTTGTTAGGTACCGCCATATAGCTGGAATATTGCTGAGTGCAGCGTAAACAAAACTAAACTCATGAATAGTTACTGCATGAACGATATATACGATCTTCTCATTTGCAGTCACAAAATGCTTTTTAACACGGGCGAAAACATAATAATGTCAAACTATCGATGTTAAAGAAGATGTTGTGTTATGAAAAAACTGCGTGTACACATCAATCATACGACGGTTTTCTGTTCTTTTATAAATATTGTCACTAAAACGTTGTCAAGGTAACAACAAATTATAAATAAACTGCCTGGTTTGTTTGGTTGATTGTAATCGATTTCCTCGGTGTATTTCAGCTCTCCTTTAATGGGCGAAACAAGATATCTTTTAAAACACGATTTCTGACAAACAATGGTCAAGGATTTCGGGTTTAGAAAATATCAAAGGTCTTGTGATTTCATGGAACTATTGGGTTCAGCTAAAGTCGTGCACAGAATGTATTTTGAGCACTCGCCATTGTTGATAATGTAAAATGAGATTGTAGGTCTGACATTTTGTCACCGGTGGGTGTGGGTGTGTGACTGTGTGGTGGTGAACGTGCCTGTGCGTGTGTGTGTGTGTGTGTCGGGGAGGAGAATGTGTGGTGGTGAATGTGCCTAGGGGTGTGTTAGGGGTGGGGAGCTTTGGTCACGTTCTCACAGACTAGCTTGGGACTGTTTTTCTTTTCAAATAAAAATAACCGTTGATTGTATTTTACGTCATCGGAAACTTCAACATGTTTCGAGGTAAATCTTGTATTGCAACGACAGTGGTTTCATGTTTTATCCTCTGTGGAGTAAACTGACAATTACCATAACTGACATTTATTACCCACCATTAGAGTGACTGCAAGAACCTTAAGTTGAGCAGCGGTGCACGTATGCAACATAAAGTTGAACTAGTTCTAGGAGTGCGTACAGGTAGTTCCGTTCTGCATTACTGGAGTCAATACACTTCAAAGAGCTTCAGTTGGTGGGTTCGATATTGAACCTTGGTTTGTCGGCTCCACACTGTCACTTTGTATCTTTAGGATTCCTATCCAGCTAACATGATGCTCAGTGATACAGCTAAGCTGCTACTCATTTCCTCCCCAAAATACACCAGCTTTTACCTCTCCCCGACCCGTGAAGGTCCGGGTTAGAATTGATCTTCAGGAACTCATGCTTGTCGTAAGAGGCGACTAACGGGATCGGGTGGTTTGGCTCGCTGACTTGGTTGACACATGTCATCAAATCCCAATTGCGTAGATTGATGCTCATACTGTTGAATACCGGATTATCTGGTCCAGACTCGAATATTTACATACCGCCGCCATATAGCTGGAATATTGCTGAGTGCGGCGTTAAACAACCAACCAACCAACCAACCAACCAACCAACCAACCAACCAACCTTGCTCCGAATCAAAATGTGCTTTGGGGCTGTATGAAATATGGAGTTCGTTATTGATATAAAGCACCGTTTCACACAGCTATCAGGATTGATATCCAATATCCGATATCCCCAACCAGATGTGTGTTATACTGGAGTGAGTGAGTGAGTTGGGTTTTACGCCCATTTTAGCAATATTCCAGCAATATCACGTCGCGGGACACCAGAAATGGGCTTCACCAATTGTACCCATGTGGGGATTCAACCCGGGCCTTAAGTGTGACGAGCGAACGCTTTAACCACTAGGCTACCCCACCGCCCCTATACTGGAGTGTCATTATCAGGCTACACTGGACGACTGGAACCAACAATTCCATTTTATTAATATACCATGTTGAGACATCATTTCGTGGTCCACCAATTCGTCATTTCCTCAGAATGAAAATATTACTTGGATGATAACAATCCTTAAAGGTGCGTTCTAACGGCGCGACTTGTAGAAACAACTTGTAGTATGCAGACTGGTTATGTCACACGCCAGTCTGGTGTGGGTACACATACATTCAGGCAGCTAGTGCATTATTACCAGTTGATTTCAAATTTGAAACAGTTCGGTACGTGCTGCATTGAAAACCAGTAAATGACCAAATAACACCAACGAGTAATCAGTATATATTGAAACACCAGTTTACTGTCTATAAAGCAAAAGGAATACAATACTATTAAGCATCAATAATCTAAATAACAGGCCCTAGATCTAATGTAAGTGCACACGAATGTTTTCAATATTGTCACAGCTAAATGCCTTGCAAGGGACCTTTCTCCCTTCCTGAAACGTGTGGAAAGGATTTCAGTGTTCTTAAATAGGTATCCAAAACGCACCTGGCTTGTAATTTAGGCCTCGAACCTCCCTGCCTTTATTTCAGGGTGCAGAAAGTTCATGAAACTGTAAGAACGTGTGCGTTTGTGCACTCAACAAGGGCGGATAACTCTAATTTAAGACTCATACCCACATAGAAGGCTCCATATTCTATGCAGCTGACGGTCATTTAAATATGGGTTCTACAGCACATTGATATTTCTGAGAGTTACTACAAATATATTTACATCAGTTTCTAACGCCAAAATATAATATTTCACAAAACAACCTAGATCTTAAAAAAACACATCAAGACCAAAAATGAACAAAAACAAATCGTCAGAATATTAATAATGGGTTCGAGGTTTTAAAAAATGATATTTCTATAAACAGAATATATATTGCCGAGAATCATTATTCTTGAAAAAGCCGGGCATCGACTTATGGCTAGAACTGATAACATCTTTTGTGGGGAATTTAAAGACCTATTCTAGCAGCTGAATGTAATGTGTTGGGGCCACGGGTGGCCAAGCTGTGTAAGGCTACACAATGCACTGATGATGGGTTCGAACCCTAAATTGGCCCAACTTTGTGCTTCCCTATCACTTGAAGCTGGCACGGTGGTATTTACCTGCGATGCTGCTCACCCACACTAATTAGTCATGAAGAGATAGAACGCACAGTCCACAGAGATGATGCTGACCAGTGTCAGCCAAAAGAACACGTTGTCCAGGAAACAGCTGACGTCCTTCCACGACACATGCCCGTCGTTGACCTTACCATTGACATCAACCACCTTAACCGTTCCGCTGCCCAAGGTATCCGCTCCTCTGAACTCGTCGATGGAACTCTGTGATGCGTTGGTCGTTGCAATGCATGTAGTATCGGTGTTGCCGATTTTGTCACCCCTGGATGCATTTGTCGGTTTAAGTTTGTTCTTATGGTTCCGGGCCGTGAGAATGCCTGACTGTCTGGTAGCGTTTCGTCCCTTGCTGGCCTGGACCATTCGGACGAGGCGCGGATGGACGGCAACGGAGTCTGGTGTGTGGTAGGCGTTGCTGACGATGACGGAGCCGAGGATGGAGAGACTGCTGAAGACGAGGAGGATGGAAATGTAAATGAGAAGAAGAGAGGGGTCCTCGGAGGAGTTGGGGATGAGAGAACTGATGTAACTGAGGAACACAGCGAGGGCGAGGAGCCCCGTCACAGACACCGACAGCTTCTCCCCTGTACTCGGGGGAATGACGAAGACGAGGATGTTGAGGATGGAGATGACGTTGATGGGGATAATGATGTTCAGAAGAAAGAACAAAGGCAGACGTCTCAAAGTCAGGGAAAGGCGGATTCTTTGTCGAACGACTCCCGACGGATGACTTGCGACAGGTTTCTGATATTTGGCTGACACGAGGTCCCACTCTCCATGCTTGAGTTTAACTGATAAAGGACTGCGATCATTAGGGTCAAACGTCAGATCAAACTCGTCAGTCATGTAGTCTCTGGGTTGAAAATCCAGATGGCAAACCTGAACGTCGAAAGGAAACTTGGAAATACTCACGGGGCAGAAACTTTGGATGAAGACATCTCTTCTCACTCTCAATTGCCCCATAGAATCCACGGTGCAGGAAAACCCAGATTCTATGTTGGTGGTCTGGTCGCTTGGCAAGCCATCCACGAGGTACAGTTTCGGCAACCAAACTTCGTTTGTTTTCGGATGAAGTCGGGATATTCCGCCATATTTGGATGTGTTCCATACAAGAAAATTGTCCTTCCACTCCACACTGATAGTAGCAAGTAGTGAGATCTGCTGCAGGACTTCGTCAAGGTTAACAATGTACCTCGTCTTTACTGACAGTTTAGCTACCACGATCTCTGACTGATTAAAAATAGGTCTAGTTTTAACACTGTAGTGATCAAACATGTCTCTCAGCAATCTGGAGTGATCAGAAGCAGTTGGCGCACACATCGATAACTGCATAACCGAAAAGATCAGAATTGTCAAACGTCCAATGAATGTAGCAGCCATGTCCAACTCGTTGTGAGTATAAATATCAGCAGACGACAGCAATCTTCTACGCGCTTGTTAACGTCAAATGAACCAGTCGCCCTTTTGTGTTGTGTGGTTTTATTGACCTAATCAGATTTGTTCCATGTGTGGATTGTCATGCTGCTGGTGTATATTGACAATAGCGGGAGATGACGACAGTAGCAGCGACTGTAACAGGATAATACTAAACGATGTCCCGTGTAATACCATATTTATGAAACGAGTGAATGGTTTGGTATCTAACGAGCGAAAGCGAGTTCATTACCAATACCATTCACGAGTTTCATAACACGGTATATACACGGGAAATAGTTTAGTATTTGATCTAAAATTCACCCAACATTAGCAAAATAATATCTCAGAATTCAAGTTACAGAACGAGTGCATTACGCCGTCATATCAGGGGTCACGCGTGTGAATACACTTCATTTATGATAGTCATCATTAGTCTATTTAATTTGAGTTTTTAGAAATAAACAAGGGGGTATGAAAAAGGGTTCAAATGACTTCTAGCAACATATTATTATTTCTTATATTGGTCATCGTTCCCGGCAAAGAACAGTTGAAACGATTCCTAAGAATTCAACGAGTGCATTACGCCCATTTAGTTACATCACGTTACTTTGGTCATGTGACACAGTTTGGTCATCGTTCCGGCAGCACGCGATGCTATTACACAATGTGTAATAACATTGTAGATTTATCAAACAGTGATATCTTCAGTAATAATGTGAGTTATTAAACACATGCAATGTTTCTTGAACTGTTGAGGAATTCTCATGTTAGAATATTGGTCAGTTGAGGTTAACGATGGTCTGGAGACCGTGCCATATATTATCTACACAATCTGTCATATTCATGTGTAAATCTGAGAACAAGGTGAAGAAGCAAGATATCTGGAGGGGGGGGTGGGGTGTTGGGGGTTGGGTAGGTGGGGATCAGTTGATTTAGGAACGTTTAGTGAAACGGAATTTGTACAGCATTTATGAAGACATTGAAGGAAAGTGTCTGAGTGTGTTATTTGCACATTCCCATATGATTATATTTTTAGATATAAAGTCCAGTTAAAACTTGTCACAACAATCTTTGAACACAACTTGCATCTGTTCCAGAAACAGAACATCTGGGAGAAATAAATAAAAACAGTTCTCAAGGGCGGAATTTCCCCTTTTACATCCTAAAGAAATGAGAATTGACTTGCCTGATTATTAATGTCCTTTGGGTGTGTATATATAAAGTACAGGTTTACACACTTGGCAGGATCAATCCCGTACACCTGATGTCCCAGACAACTGTCTCCTCGTCTTGGAGTGACGTCATCACGCTACATGTGAGTAAAACTACTGGAACCAAGAGCTATGTTTTATATAGTGGGGGCGCTGTGGGCGACCTGTCTAAGGCGCCAGGCTGGTGAGCCAGCCTGAGGTGCGAGCCTGTGGATCGAGTCCACCTGTGAACGTGTGTACAATCCTTGGAGTCAACTCGGGGTGCAGACTCTTTCAGTGTTGTCACAACCCCTAGCGTACACTACACAACCCTGTGCACTTAAAAGAACCCACAAATCCGTTGGTATATGACCAGATGGTGGCCACATGAATACGTGCAAACACGTACCTAGTTGCGGGCACAGCAACATGCAGTAAAACTTGGACAAAGTACTGTGACTATGTTTCCCAATCCACCCAGCTGTGAATGGGTACCTCGTAAGGATAGGAAAGCCACATTAACTTGGTGCGCCCCGTGGCTGCAAGAGTTGTATGATCCCCAAGGAGTTGAGATTGATAATACGATGTGCCGTTTGAGTTTGACATCCGATGTTCGGGGGGAAATCAAAGCACCTTTGAGCAGCTGAGCTGGATATTAGTGCTTTACAAATGTTAGTATAATAATATAAATTGCCGTAATGATATTTGCTTCATCATTTTTAGAACTTACTTGGAAGGAATCAATATTTAACATTGCCACATGAACATATATCGACATTCTAATGCAGCGTAGGTTCACTGCATCCAGAAACGTGAGAGAAGGATGTTTCCGTGTCACTGTGGCATGTGTGGGGATGTATCATGGCGTATCAGGATACGCTGATTTATGGGTTCGAATCTAGTGTATGTGTCTGTGCTTTGAGACCACTTGATGTAACTGAAATACTCACTCCACTGCTGACACAACCGCCAATGTACTCACTTACCATCCACCTACACATTCACTCACTCACACATGAACATATACAAGTACAGTAAAAGAAAACGAACCACTTGAAACAAAGGGTGTTCCGACTGTGTCATTTCGATTCAAGTATGTGGGTTTACTGTGGGTCTGTGACAGGGAAGTTCTGATAGTGATAATGTATTTCATCTACTGATCAGTTGATTAATGAAAGCGTTTCCAAAAACAGTTGAGTACATTTACAACTCTGTAGATCATGTATATAGAAAGTGAAATGTGTATAGAAATGAGAAAGACAAATATTTACCAATTTGCATCGACTTGAACTGAATCATCAGTACTGAGATTAGTATGCAACTTCGACTGGAACACTTTTGTTCCATATTACTGGAATTTTAGGAAGCTCGATGCCAGGTAAACACCACGCCGTCTTAGGTTTTCAGAAGGACAAACATTCACAGTGAAACAATTTCGTTTTGGCCGATAATAAATTTGTAATTGACTTACAACGTTTACCATTAATAAATTAACACATTTGTTTTTTTAAACTTGCCTTTGAAATGCAGATTGCTTGCGGTCTGTAGTGAAACTTAATAATAACTGGGATGAGAAATGCCGATTATGTCATAAAAAAAGGTCAGTCTTAGCTCTGTAGATCAGGGATTACATTATTTTAAATCTGCTTCAAGGAATAGTGTCCGAAGGTTGGACACATTCAGCCCCGGGCACAGCCTGGTTGTCAATCATATTGATGGAGTGACCCTTCACTGACCACTGACGCACTCAAATGGGACGCCAGCGACAGACTGGAGCATATAAAAGCTCCCTCTAACCTGGCTTGTCATCTTCAGGGGGTACTTGTTCGTCATGAAAATTTCGTTTGTCTTGCTCCTTCTTGTCGTGGTTCTGGCGTCCGTCGGACTTGGGCAGAGACCTAGTAGAAGGTGGCGCAACGGAGATGCCAGCCTTTTGGGTGGGGGTAGACAGTTTAGGACGGCGGGCAATGGTGAAGAGAGAAATGTTTGGCTTAGCAGACGATTCCGGGCATGGAGAAATCAAACCAACACTATCACTCATGGCGATACAGGAAGTCGTCTCAACTTCAATGCTCTGCTGAGACGTAATCGGACAGAGAGTAGGGGTTGGAATGTTCCTGGGATTTCATTTGCAGGTTTATCGAGGAACCGAGGAAGAGGTGAGGGCGGAAAGCAAACAACCGGAAGTAAGGGAGATATTGGAGAAATTACAACCGGAAGTACGAGAAATATAGAAGGGCAAGATACCGGAAGTACTGATGGGGTCAGAGAGCAAGGGACCGGAAGAAAAGGCCTTTGGGGACGTCGTGGAAGGCAACACTGGAAGGGCGGCCAAAGACGTGGCTTCTTCCGAGGAGGAAACAATATTTTGGTATTTCTCATCTGACTGACTGACTGACTGACTGACTGAGTTTAGTTTTACGCCGCTTTTAGCAATATTCCAGCAATATCACGGCGGGGGGACACCAGAAATGGGCTTAACACATTGTGCCCATGTGGGGAATCGAACCCGGGTCTTCGGCGTGACGAGCCAACGCTTTTAACCACTAGGCTACCCCACCGCCCCTTCTCATCTGATCTCTTCTCACTAATATATTGATATGAATATTAACTTGAGAATATGTGTATGTGTGTGTGTGTGTGTGCATGCGAGAGTGCTCGCGCGAGGAGATCTGCATATCGCTGCATTTGGATGATATGTTCAGTATACTGTATATTTTATTCCCCCAGCCGAACAACATCGTTGTTGCCAGCTGGACTCGCGATTTGGGGGACAACGTCACGGTGACAGAGCGCGTGTTTATGAACAGAACCGCGCAGACAGCTTTCTTCGTCTCCTACAACGAAGATCTCCAGGACGGAGGCACTCAAATGTCTGTATCGGCGTACGACTTCAACAGTGTGAGTAATGACAGATCCGTGAAAATCTGGTTAAAATTAGTCTTCAGCAATCATTCTTGTCGTAAGTGACGACTAACAGGATCGGGTGGTCAGGCTCGCTGACTTGGTTGACACATGTCATCGCATCCCAATTGCATAGATCGATGCTCATGCTGTTGATCACTGGATTTTCTGGCCAAGACTCGATTATTTACAGACCGCCGCCATAAAGCTGGAATATTGCTTAGAGCGGCGTTAAACAACAAACAAACAAACTATTGCATTTATTACAGGCATTTACAACATACCCTCAAAACTTGTCCTATGGTCTAAACGCATGTGTGTTCTGCACAATACTGTATCTTCAAGAACGTTTCCATGTAGATGGTGGCAGCCACGAGAACGCAGATAGACAACAGCAGTGTGTGCATCATTGTTCCCGGCATCTTCATGGACGACTTCAACACCACCGCCGATAACGTGGCAGCCAGAAGTGTATGTGAAGCGCTTCTACAACATATATAAATAAATAAACACTAATTCCTAACATCCATGGTACGGTGTCGTTTAAAGATATCAGCTGATGTTTTATCCTGCTATACTATTCAGTAAACAGAGAAACTGCAAGAGTTAAAAGTATACGTCCAGTGTGTATATTTGTTTCATAAAAGAGATGATTATAAACTACTTTTAAACTTCCAGACTGATGTGACAATGCCCCTTGCAAGCACCAAAGGCGAGTTTACCTTGACACAAGGGGAGCAACTCTTGGAGGAAAATAGGCTCAACTCCACAGATATCTTCCTAACCAGGTTTTGTCGTGGTCGTTTTGGTACCCCTGCTGTCGTCATAGACGCTACCGTAGTAGCAGATGGTAAGTGTAGTTTAATAGGCTAGAATTTATACATTGTCAAGTTACATCTGTTGAACTATATAGAAAAAATACATTGCTGTATTAATACGGAAATCCACATCAACGTCCATCTGCACGCTTCGCAACGACCCTAACGTGTATTGAAATGTTTGCTTCTTTCCAGTCAACACGTCAGATCCTCAACGTCCGTAATTTGTGTTGCCACAAAAGTATATGTCAAATTAACCACCTCCATGAATACATCCAGATTCGATCCAGGTTGCTCTTTGACCAATCTCATTGTGTTAAAGTGTGTCTTTATCGTAAGACTGCGGTGGGGTAGCCAAGTGGTAAAGCGTTCGCGCCTCACGCCGAAGACCTGGGTCCGACTGTCCACATTGATACAACGTGTGAAGCCTATTTCTGGCGTCCCCCGCTGTAATACTACTGGAATATTGCTAAAAGCAGCGTAAACTCACAGACTCAGTTTTTTAAGGAAAATATATATATATATATATATATGTATGTGTGTATGTATGCATGCTGCATGCAGACTCAGTTTATGTAAGGTAGGTAGGTAGGTAGGTAGGTATAGGTATATATATGTATGTATGTATATGTATGTATGTATGTATATAGTGTTCCTAACCTTCATTACTTTTGTTTCCCGGCGCTTATTAAAGGCCCGGTGCTTATTTCTTAAACCGCTGCTTTACTCCCGGCGCTTATTAGAGGAAATAAGGTAAATAGTATTACTTCCCGCCTCACTGTCTAAAAGAGTTTGGTTTTACGCCGCTTTTAACAATATTCCAGCAAATATCAAGGCGGGGGACACCAGAACTGGGCTTCATACATTGTAAGTTTATTATAAGGTATGGGAGTTCCGACCACCTTAGCGCTACGATCGCTTTGTGAAATGGGGCCCAGTCCGGTAGGAGATGTAAGTATATAGAAACCCCACAACTTCTGACGATTGTCATCACTGACGAAGTCTTCTATGTTCCAGGAATGACGGACCTCTCTGATACCCGAAGCACCACCGTACCGACGATGAACGGGAAGGTCATCATTCACGTCCCGACTACCTTCACGGTGAAGACCCCGAATGAATAACCGCCACTGACGTCAATAATGTCTGCCTCGACACTCAGTATCAAGGATGTCTTTAGATTATCTGTGTTATTCCTTTGAGCGCTTACCGTATTTCATCCAGTAAACGACAGTCCGATATTTGTTTAAAAGCATTATTACTATTTTAATATTAGAAAACACATAATGAATTGTATCATCGTCTCCCAATTTCGTAGATCGATCCTTATAACGTCAATCACTAGATTGTCATGCCCGCATGACCCTGTGAACAGTTTGGGACACAGCAACAGTACCTCCTGTCTGTCTCACCTGTCAATCTATGACCCTGTGAACAGTTTGGGACACAGCGACAGTACCTCCTGTCTGTCTCACCTGTCAATCTATGACCCTGTGAACAGTTTGGGACACAGCGACAGTACCTCCTGTCTGTCTCACCTGTCAATCTGTCACCCCATGAACAGTTTGGGACACAGCGACAGTACCTCCTGTCTGTCTCACCTGTCAATCTACCTCCTGTCTGTCTCACCTGTCAATCTATGACCCTGTGAACAGTTTGGGACACAGCGACAGTACCTCCTGTCTGTCTCACCTGTCAATCTGTCACCCCATGAACAGTTTGGGACACAGCGACAGTACCTCCTGTCTGTCTCACCTGTCAATCTATGACCCTGTGAACAGTTTGGGACACAGCGACAGTACCTCCTGTCTGTCTCACCTGTCAATCTATGACCCTGTGAACAGTTTGGGACACAGCAACAGTACCTCCTGTCTGTCTCACCTGTCAATCTGTCACCCCAATGAACACCTGTCAATCCTCCTGTCTGTCTCACCTGTCAATCTATGACCCTGTGAACAGTTTGGGACACAGCGACAGTACCTCCTGTCTGTCTCACCTGTCAATCTATGACCCTGTGAACAGTTTGGGACACAGCAACAGTACCCTCCTGTCTGTCACCTGTCAATCTATCTGTCAGTTTGGGACACAGCTGTCTGTCTCACCTGTCAATCTATGACCCTGTGAACAGTTTGGGACACAGCGACAGTACCTCCTGTCTGTCTCACCTGTCAATCTATGACCCTCTATGACTTGAGACTTGCCTCCCTCAACACTTAATGAACGCAGTTAACCATTGTTTTTCTTATCATCTCCCTTCTTTTCCGATCAATAGCCTCAACCCACTGAGAATTTCTTTCTCTAACTTTAATGGACGGCCCTTTGTAGCATCTTGTTATTCAAATTTTACTAAAACAAAGAAGGATGGTATCGAATCAGTTCAGTATATGTCTTGATGAAGGGAATGTAACAAACTGGGTAACAGAGAAATAGTTAAGCTTGTAATTGGAGCTCAGTGCAAATTTTCTCTTATAAAAAGATGCGTTGCTATTTATCAATCGAATCTCGGGCATCACATCAGTTGCGATAGTTGTCTCCCCTGTAGCCGCTCTCATGCCCCGCGAATCTCTCTCTCTGTGTAAAGCTGAAATAGAAAATGTTTCAGAATACATATTCCAGTACTGCCTTCTGCTGATGTATGCATAGCGTCACGGAAGCTGTGTAAAACCTGGTACAGTGTGTCAGCCCAACTACACAAAGACATCTTAGCGCTACCATCCCTCAAGGTCAAGGGAGTTGCAAGAAAACAGTGACACTGTTCTAATGTTATATGTTTGACTGTTGTTTTAAACTCAGGGTTTACTCCAAGACCCAGACCAAGGTTAATTACCTGAAACTAGCCTCATCTGTTTACATCTACTCCTATACCCAGACCAAGGTCAATTACCTGAAACTATCCGCATCAGTTTACATCTACTCCAAGACCCAGACCAAGGTCAATTACCTGAAACTATCCGCATCAGTTTACATCTACTCCTAGACCCAGACCAAGGTCAATTACCTGAAACTGGCCGCATCTGTTTACATCTACTCCTAGACCCAGACCAAGGCCAATTACCTGAAACTGGCCTCATCTGTTTACATCTACTCCTAGACCCAGACCAAGGCCAATTACCTGAAACTGGCCGCATCTGTTTCCATCTACTCCTAGACCCAGACCAAGGCCAATTACCTGAAACTGGCCTCATCTGTTTACATCTACTCCTAGACCCAGACCAAGGCCAATTACCTGAAACTAGCCTCATCTGTTTACATCTACTCCTAGACCCAGACCAAGGTCAATTACCTGAAACTGGCCTCATCTCTTTACATCTACTCCTAGACCCAGACCAAGGTCAATTACCTGAAACTGGCCTCATCTGTTTACATCTACTCCTAGACCCAGACCAAGGTCAATTACCTGAAACTGGCCTCATCTGTTTACATCTACTCCTAGACCCAGACCAAGGTTAATTACCTGAAACTGGCCTCATCTGTTTACATCTACTCCTAGACCCAGACCAAGGTTAATTACCTGAAACTGGCCGCATCTGTTTACATCTACTCCTAGACCCAGACCAAGGCCAATTACCTGAAACTGGCCTCATCTGTTTACATCTACTCCTAGACCCAGACCAAGGTTAATTACCTGAAACTGGCCGCATCTGTTTACATCTACTCCTAGACCCAGACCAAGGTGAATTACCTGAAACTGGCCTCATCTGTTTACATCTACTCCTAGACCCAGACCAAGGTTAATTACCTGAAACTGGCCGCGTCTGTTTACATCTACTCCTAGACCCAGACCAAGGTCAATTACCTGAAACTGGCCTCATCTGTTTACATCTACTCCAAGACCCAGACCAAGGTTAATTACCTGAAACTGGCCGCATCTGTTTACATCTACTCCTAGACCCAGACCAAGGCCAATTACCTGAAACTAGCCTCATCTGTTTACATCTACTCCTAGACCCAGACCAAGGTTAATTACCTGAAACTGGCCTCATCTGTTTACATCTACTCCTAGACCCAGACCAAGGTCAATTACCTGAAACTGGCCTCATCTGTTTACATCTACTCCTAGACCCAGACCAAGGCCAATTACCTGAAACTAGCCTCATCTGTTTACATCTACTCCTAGACCCAGACCAAGGTTAATTACCTGAAACTGGCCTCATCTGTTTACATCTACTCCTAGACCCAGACCAAGGTCAATTACCTGAAACTGGCCTCATCTGTTTACATCTACTCCTAGACCCAGACCAAGGTCAATTACCTGAAACTGGCCTCATCTCTTTACATCTACTCCTAGACCCAGACCAAGGTCAATTACCTGAAACTGGCCGCATCTGTTTACATCTACTCCTAGACCCAGACCAAGGTTAATTACCTGAAACTGGCCTCATCTGTTTACATCTACTCCTAGACCCAGACCAAGGTTAATTACCTGAAACTGGCCTCATCTGTTTACATCTACTCCTAGACCCAGACCAAGGTTAATTACCTGAAACTGGCCGCGTCTGTTTACATCTACTCCTAGACCCAGACCAAGGTCAATTACCTGAAACTGGCCGCATCTGTTTACATCTACTCCTAGACCCAGACCAAGGTTAATTACCTGAAACTGGCCTCATCTGTTTACATCTACTCCTAGACCCAGACCAAGGTTAATTACCTGAAACTGGCCTCATCTGTTTACATCTACTCCTAGACCCAGACCAAGGTTAATTACCTGAAACTGGCCGCGTCTGTTTACATCTACTCCTAGACCCAGACCAAGGTCAATTACCTGAAACTGGCCTCATCTGTTTACATCTACTCCTAGACCCAGACCAAGGTCAATTACCTGAAACTGGCCGCATCTGTTTACATCTTCTCCTAGACCCAGACCAAGGTCAATTACCTGAAACTGGCCTCATCTGTTTACATCTACTCCAAGACCCAGACCAAGGTCAATTACCTGAAACTGGCCTCATCTGTTTACATCTATTCCTAGACCCAGACCAAGGTCAATTACCTGAAACTGTCCTCATCTGTTTACATCTACTCCTAGACCCAGACCAAGGTCAATTACCTCCCCTAATTCGTACATATACACTGCATAGCGTTCAAACACTGGCGACTCACCGAGTACAGACCGGCGCGGAAATCTGCAACCGTTTGGTTCTCTGAAATGAAGCAAAGATATCGTCTACGTATAATAAAATTAATGCTCTAACAATAGAACTGGAGAATTATAAGATGTGTTATCAATGTAACGGTGTCAACATTCAGTACTTGGAAACCGATAGTTGTGGTAGTAGAGGTGATAATGGCAGTCGTAGTGCTAGTGAGTGACTGAGTATGGTTTTTACTCCGCCTTTAGCAATATTCCAGCAGTATCACGGCGGGGGACACCGGAAATGGGCTTCACACATTGTACCTATGTGGGGAATCGAACCCGGGTCATCGGCGTGACGAGCGAACGCTTTAACCACTAGGCTACCCCACCGCCCCTCGTAGTGCTAGTAGTAGTGGTCATAGTGCTAGTGCTAGTGGTGATGGTGGTGGTAGTAGTAGCAGTAGTAGTAGTAGTGGTGGTAGCAGTAGTAGTAGTGGCGGTGGTGGTGGTAGTAGTAGTGGAGGTGATGTTGATGAGAGTAGTAGTAGTAGTAGTAGTAGTAGTAGTAGTAGTAGAGGTGGTAGTAGTAGTAGTAGTGGTGGTGGTGGTGTTGTGGTGGTAGTGGTAATGGTGGTGGTGGTCGTAGTAGTAGCAGCTGTAGTGGCGGTGGTGATAGTACGACTCAGATTGGTAGTTGTAGCATTAGCAGTATAGTCTGTTTGCAGTGAAAACGTACCGCTGAATTTCACTTAAAACCAAAAAAGTAAATCACATAAAGTGAAATTAAGATTGCGAATCCTCATGATTTTACCTTGCCAATTGAACATTTATTCAACTTATTATAAAAGTTATTTAATAAACGATCATAGTTTCAAATCGCTATTATTGGTTTGTATTACAAGGGGGTACGCGCAGTAGTTGGAATAGTGAAACAAATGCACGTGCGGTCAGTGAAGAGCGTTAACTTAGACTACCGTAGAAAACAATTATTCTTGTTCTCGGGGTTTCATTTAATGTGCATACCCCCTTGTAATACATACCAATAATAGCGATTTGAAACTATGATCGTTTGTTAAACAACTTTTATCCTAAGTTGAATAAAATTCTGAGATTTTAATGTTCAATTGGCAAGGTAAAGTTATGAGGATTCGCAATCTTAATTTCACATTATTTGATTTACTGTTTTGTTTAAAGTGAAATTCATCGGTACGTTTTCTCTACAAACAGACTATAGTTGTTGTAGAAGTAGTAGAAGAAACTTTAAATTGAATTGTGTTGACAGCAGCAGCAGCAGCAGCAGTTGTAGTAGATGCGAAATGCCTATACTGACCCGAGTTCCGACCCGACATCTCGAACGAAAGCAGACTGAAGCCCTCTGTCAGAGTGTTGAATATCCTGTGAGCAACATCCGGGTGGTCACCATAGCGACACGTCCACTCCGCAACGAACTCGTACGGCGACACAACACCATCCACTGCCCCCAAAACAACATAACCCAGAAACTGACATTTTAAACAAGCCAACAATGCCCGTATTGCAATGGTGATATTCAGAGGAGGCAGGTGGCTATTCACGCAATTCAGGATCCGCAGATTGTGGCGATGTAAATCACTTCATGTTTGAGTTCAAACAACGCTGTATAGATATTAATATACAACACTGGAATAGTAAAATAAGAAACTCATCATTTCTTGTAAATTATGGTACATTTAAGTCACTTCTTGAACCTGAACTGTATATTTCCTGTGGCGCATTAAACAAAGATCTTATGCGAACGTTGATCAAATTCCGATGCCAATCACATAACTTGAATATACAAAAACAACGTTTTTCAAAGATAATTGTCCCATATAAAGAATTAGTTTGTAACAAATGTACTTTAAACGTGCTTGAAGACGAATATCACTTGTTGCTAATATGTCCATTTTATAACCGATGCAGATCCCAATGTATTCCAGCCTATTTCTACAGCCCACCTTCAATTGTCAAATTTCGAGCCCTTATGGAGATACACAGTGTCACTGTTCTTAAAGGAATATGTATATTCCTGAAGCAAAACCTACGTTAAAATAATTGTATTATGAATTATATTTCAACTCTACACACCATGACAATGTTGTATTACCTGTTGTACTCTTGGCCACATGGCCTTCAATTCTGAATAAAGTGAAGTGAAGAGTTTGAATCCAGTATTCACTCCGATCAAGGGCCTTGATATGTCTACATCATACCCCATCCTATAGATTCCAGACATGTACCTTCACGTTATGCTGACTCGTTGCGCAAAACAGCGTAACTCAATCATACACCCACTCAAACTAACATCTAGTCTCTGAAATGAACATATTTTACTGACAAAGTGGTTCCTAAATTATGATCATAAAATATAATGAAAAGGAGCCCAGAGACTTTCTTCATTTTCAGCAACTGTGTTATTCTACACTCGCCACATATTCTAAACTTGCATGGGCTCTCTGGGATATACATTTGTATTTGTTTCCGGGTGTGTATGACACTCAGACTACCACTCAGTGTTAAAGGGAGGATATCTGAAGCGTAGTTTATGTCTTAGCGCTTTGAGCATGCACAAGAGCGTGGATACAAGCGCTTTAATATATACTGAAAGCCATTAAAAATGCAATTTGACATTCATACTTTCTTTACTCACACTAATTTCAACATATATAAACCTAACTGGCAGATATGTTTTAAGTGAACATCTGTGAATAATTTCATCTGAAAATGTCCAGTCAACAACAACATCAGTGACGCAACAACGACATCACACAAAGGAGGGGTCACTTGCAGTCAATATCGTGTGTGTCCACCGTGCGCTGCAAGACATGCTCGCAGTCTTTGGGGCATTGAAAGACACACATTTCTCAGGAACAGCTGTTGGATGGTCTGCAGCCTCTGATGGTCTGTGGTCTGATCATGACACCACCCCTCAAAACGATCATGTTCAAGGACACAGTTTGGCGCAAGTCTTTCTCCTTTACGTCGATAAATCTGTTGACGTCCATCTGCAAAGGATAAGTTAAACCTGGATTCATCTGAAAAATGACATCTGGCCATGTCCTGTTGCCAAGATTGGCCCCATTTGCTGCCCATCGCTGTCTGGCAAGTCTGTGGCGATGCAATAAGGTTGGACCACGGTACGGGTGACGACACCGGATGTTGAAGGCAGCAAGGCGTCCTTGCACCTTTTGGGCGCTGAAATGACGTTGACTTGTCCCAATTGTCCTCCTTGCCTAATCATCAGCTGTTTGGAACCGATTTCGCAAGTGTGAAACTCGGATATTGCGGTTTTGTCGAGCTGTTATCACAGGTGGTGCACCAGGTCGCGGACGATCAGCAACACTTCCGGTAGCCCGAAAACGTTGTCTGAGTCGACTTACAGTGGATGGATGCACATTAAAGTGCCTGGCAATCATCACATCTGAAGCACCTTGGCTGACCATACCGATAACCTGATTCCTTTCGTCTTGTGTCAAGTGTGGCATTTTCTCAAAGTGATTGAGTTCCACAATTCCTTGTGCTTTTACAGGGCCTGGGTGCAGGTAATGCATGTGCACAACGTGTTTCATGAATGTGGTTGTGTTTACGAGAAATGTCAAAGGTTCAGTTTTAAGTATCAAAGTTCATGTGAGAGGAATGCTCCGGGACTCGAACTCGAAATGGGCCAGAATAACAGCCTTTTATCCCTACATCCTCTGTATCGCAGGAAAAAATCTTCAATAGAACTTTTGTAAGTTTCAGGACAACAAATACCAATTGCGTTTTAAATGGCTTTCAGTACTGTCTCCAAACGTTTCTTGTTAATTTCTTATTTATTTCAAGAGCTTTAACATATTTTTGGTTATTTTCTAAGTCCTTTTCATATAACACATGTGTGTGCACAATTCCAAAGAATGTGATCGAATAGTTTGGAAAATATTGTTGTTCTAAACTTCAAGATCAATTTTCTCGAAAATAGGTTTTTAGGACCTGGAACACTTTGGTTTTTAGGCGACGATGGGTATCATGGCTGCTCCAGGCTCAGAAGGTAAAACCATCACACCTCGTTATACCGGACTTGGGGGAACATATATCCAGATATATATAGAAATTGCCAAATTTTGAAAGAAACTTGAACAACGAGAAAATAATCAATGTGACGAGAAAAACTTCCACTTTCTAGAAATATCGAGAAAATGAATTAACGACAAGTTACTCTTAAATTTCGATTGTATTTTTAATAAACTTGATCTAACGAGAAAGAATTGAAATAACGAGAAGCAACGACAAAAAAATCGACACTCCGAGTTTTCGAAGAAATTTAAATAATGGGGAAAAAAATTAAATACGACAATGTAATATAAGTAACGAGACTATTGCGAGTGAGAACATCACTGAAAGAATGTGAAGGAATGAAAGAAATTGAGCTTAAACACCTGTGAACAGTGATGCCTTGGTGAAACAATGACTACGGATATGGTGGTGACCAATTATACATCATAACTTAGTTTCGAACCTACGGCGGTCACATAACATGAATTATAATTATCATTTGATATTTTATGATTGTGAAACGCAACTCTAATAGCGTAGGCTATAGAAGTCAAACACCTCCCAGTAGAGGAAATCTCAAATCAAAAATTTCACTGACGGGAATATTGGGCCAAACAGAAAGGATTTCTGAAAACACTCTGCTACTAATCTTTGACAGCGCTATGTTGCGGGTATGCTGCCGAAAGTATCATTTCTCTCAAAGGGAAGGGGCGGTGGGGTAGCCTAGTGGTCAACGCGTTTGCTCGTCACGCCGAAGACCCAGGTTCGATTCCCCACATGGGCACAAGGTGTGAAGCCTATTCCCAGTGACCCGCCGCGATATTGTTGGAATATTGCTAAAAGCGGCGTAAAACTAAACTCGCACGACACCCCTGCAGTTACAGAGGGTGTTACATTGTGTTAACTAATGTCAGTCAGGCTGGATGTACTCACGTGTCGCGGTATGCACGTGTCGCAACCACCATCATGATGAGGACGAGGATCCCCGGAAACGTTCCCCACCACGTCATCAGCTCGCGCACGTCTGGAACACACACGGATTAGCTGAAATGTGAGTGAGTGATCTTTAATACAGTCGCCCAAATCCACTTTTTACAGTACTTTTAAATCTGTTGTAAATACGGAGCAATGCGTCCACGAGATTAATCTCAGAATATTCTTCATTTCATTATCCAGACTTAGATGTTCTTCACATGATCTTATGATCGAGAAGGGCAGATATTATAATATTCCAAGAGAAAACAGATTGTATAAAGTTTGTACATTAAATGTACTTGAAGATAAGTTCCACTTGCTGGTATGTCCTTACTACACTGATTTAAGGACCAAATGTCTACCGCAATATTCCCATACATATCCTAATACATGTAAATTGGTTAATAAACTTAACAACACAGCATATATTCACAAACTCGGTATGCATATCCCCCATGCTTTTGTACATAGAAAACAACGCCTGCAAACATCGTGCTTGTACGCCATTATCGCTATCTCACTTTGTACTATATTGCACAAATCACTTTTATTCGAGTACTGAATAGGTCACAGATCTACATATGCCTGTGGCCTCTTCAGAACTTGAATAAAAGAGCTTTGAGTGAGTATTTTAATGTGAGTGACTCGCAGGGACTTACAGGACGCGAATTCCTGCGTCCTATACGCATAAACATTGACAATAGACGCAACAAAATTTACATTTGTAAAAATTCCAATCAACTAACTATAGGTTATCACTGAGTTTGCTACTTGCTGGGTTATGGTATCATTTGCAATTCAATTACTGTAATAATTAAGTGATGATCATGATATACAATACAATAACAGTATTAATGATATTATTTAAGTGTCTGGGACCCCCATTTCGTTGTTCAGGACCCCTGAAAATTAAGAGTATGAGTCCAAGGGACCCTCAAATACAGGACTCAAGGTAAAAACCTTGAGTGTGTATTAATGTTTAGTCGCCATCAGCATTACATCCGTTGTAACACGTCGTGTCAGGAGGGTGTTGGAAGAAGGCTTGAAGTGACACGGGTTAACACTCTTATCACAGTCACGGATCAAGGGTTCTCAAACCATAAGTAAAATCAGAATAATTTGGGATTCGATCAAACGTGATTCTACATTAGAAGTGGCAAATATAGTAGTGGTAGCTGAAGTTGTAGTAGTAGTAGTAGCAGTAGCAGTGGTAGTAGTAGTAGTAGTAGTAGTAGTAGTAGTAGTAGTAATAGTAGTAGTAGTAGTAGTAGTAGTAGCAGTAGCAGTAGCAGTAGCAGTGGTAGTAGTAGTAGTAGTAGAAGTAGTAGTAGTAGCAGTAGCAGTAGCAGTGGTAGTAGTAGTAGTAGTAGAAGTAGTAGTAGTAGTAGTAGTAGTAGCAGTAGCAGTGGTAGTAGTAGTAGTAGTCGCAGTAGCAGCAGAGGGTAGTGGCAATTTGTTCGTTTGTCTATGATGACGGTCAGCAGATAATCGAGTCTGGACCAGACATACCCGCATGCAGTGTGCGAAATAGCCACTGGTCCGCTAGCCCGTGGCTAGTAAAAATCCAGTCGGGCTAACAAATCTCCACAGTCACTGGCCTGACTGGTTAGTGAATTTTCATGGGGTCATTTTTAAATACATCACTCTCTCCGACTTAGTAAGTTATAATACACGTTTAAATCACGCAAGATTATGGCCTGTTTATTATTATGTTCATCATATTAGCAGCTTAATGATGAAATCCGTGTCATGCCGACAGTATCTTATTATGATATCTTGCAATCTTTCTGCTTAGTTACTACATTCAAATTTCGGGCTAGCGAATTATTTTGTGGGCTAGTAACTTTCAGGTATAGTTTGCCCGACTGGCCAGCAAAATTTGGAGACTACTTCGCACACTGCCCGCATGGTAACATCAAGGGAGTCGATGACATGCATCACATAAGTTAGCGAGCCTGACCACCTGATCCCGTTAGTCGCCTCTTACAAGAAACATAGGTTGCTGGACACTACTTCTACCTCGGATCGCCGCTTTTCGCACTACTACTACTACTACTACTACTACTACTACTACTACTACTACTACTACTACTACTACTACTACTACTACTACTACTACTACTACTACTGCTGCTGCTGCTGCTGCTGCTACTACTACGTCTACTACTACTACTACTACTACGACTACGACTACGACTACGACTACGACTA